TATTGTAACTTTAACTAATATTTATTGTATTTTAAAATCACAGTTCCACTGACCATAAATCATTTCTTCCTGCTAACCCAGTTTTTCCAATAGTAGGAAACCACTGATGTGCTGCCATAATATAAAATCTCATAAACTTTGCATCTGCTCAAATTCCTGGCCTAAGAACAGAAATTTTGGCAAGCACCTATATTTTGCCTGTTCATACTACTCTAGGAAATGTCTGTCTGACATATCTGCTAGTTTAGCAATAACATGGAATCCTAAAACCTATATTTCATCGTCCATGATTGTAGTGGTTCTAAGCCAAGCTGAGCGGTGGGGTGCGCTCTTGATTAATGTCACAGAAAATCAAATCGTCAGTTGGCGGTTTAGATTGTTCTGTGTCCATTTGTAGTGTCTTAGCCACTCTAGACACCATTTGCACATACGAGGAAAAATAGTCAGATGGAGATGAGGGGTGGGGGTCAGCTGCACCTGAACCCATTATTTATCCTTCAGGTAGATCATCTGCTGATGCATCATGACAAGTTTCATCATCAGGAGGATAGGCGTTAGTTGAAAAATCTGCCTCTTCCTCTGATGTGGAAGGTGAGTGCTGTCTTTTACAATGTTTTTCCATGGTAGTAGATGTAGACTTAGTGTGTTGGGAAGATGACAAGACTGTCGACGCCGAAAAAGGTGGCACAGGTCCTTGTTGAGCCTGTGCAGTCTTCGGGCGATGTGTTCGCTTATCATTTTTGTCGACATCGACAATTTTTCGGTGTCAACGTCAACGGGGAGATGTAGAAAGAGAGGAGAAAGATGTTGAGGAATATGAACGTCTCGACCTCTTCTTTCATCTATAAAGATCAGTCGATGTCGAAGAGGATTCTGACTTGGAGGAGTCTCGCCGACGTCGATGGCGGCGCTTTTTTCGGTCAGTTTCTGAGTCGTCGTAGTGTTTCTTATGTCGATGTCGAGAGGATCGATGACAAGAACGGTGCTGGTCAGGCAGTAAATGCTTAGTCTTCTTAGTTTCTTGCATGGAGGCGAAGTCGCTCTTGACTGAACCGATGCCGAAGAAGGAGCCGGAGATGCCGCCCGGTGGACACAGGGCTATCTGGGCCAGAAGCCAAACTTGTGGTAGCTTGTACAAGTTGGCTCGGGGTCGGAGATGTCAGACCCACAGGTAGTATTGACTCCACTTGTCTAGGAGGTAGCGAGGTTGCTGCCTCAGACATTCCCGATCCCGGGAAGAATCCTCCAAAATCGGTGAAGGAATTGATGCCGAGACTTAATAGAACCTTTTGGCTTGGTTTGTTTGGCACATTTAACCGAAATGGAACTGGAGGCGGAGGTGGGTGGAGCATACACTATTGGGGCAACTTAAACTTTGTTACTTTTCTCTTCAAGCTCTAGAATATTCTGAGAGGTCCAGCGCAGGCGCTGATTTAACCCTTTTGTGTGTATTCAGAGGCCACGATGAAGAATACTGCTTTTCATTCATTCGCCTGTCACATTTCTTTCAGAACGTTATTTATGATAATCTCATTTCTAAATGTATAGATCATAACCAAAACATTCATTTAGTTGCCAAGACTGTCAGTAATTAACAGGCTTTGCTCTGTCAGAGCTGGCTAATTGTTTTGATGACTTGTGTAAACTATTTTTTTCAAGTAAACTATTTAAAAGTACTTTCCTTTCACAGCAAATTTTCCTGCACCCCCTTAATTTTTCTAACTCTCTTAAACACACAAAGTTTCAAATCTTGACAGAGACACCAGCTTGAGAAGCATTGTTATAAAAGTATTTAACCAGATCACTTTGGATTTATAAATCTCATGTAGAATGCATAGCATTTACAGATTATAGTGATGTTGAGCATCAAACATTTACAATTAAAAGTATACATATACAAATTTAAGTATACAGGAGAAATAGCTTTTGTTTCAACACTTCTATGTGACAGATATAATAAAATGAGGTTTTGCTATTAAATGCAGTGGGACGCGTTTGCTAAAATTAAAGCATAAAGTACTTAGCAAACTGACTACCATCAGAAACTAGCCTGGAAAAAAAATTACTTTCTGGCATGAAATTGATATTATGCTTGAAAATTTTTTACTAGAAACTTACGATGGTCGATCCTCCAGAATAAGAGCAGTAGTTGAAAGTGGCTCAAATTCAAAGTGTCTACGTCTTGTTGCCTGGGGGGCGGGTTTGCACAGTTTTCCTGTTCTTGCTTCATATTCCTAAACAAAATTGAATTATTTGTACTCAGTATATTTCTTTTTTTAAATTATTACTATTCATAAATACAAAACATGCAGAACAACAATAATATGACCTAACAAAATTATATTTTGTGTATTTCTAACTGTGATAAAACTGAACAGTTCAAGATTCAATGCAACAATAAGATGGGTAATCTGGGTACTATCAGCTTTATATCAATACTGCTAGCAACCATACTGTGATAGCTTTTAAGATACAAGGGTGAGAAATGTTATACTGATAATTATGTGTGCATGTGACATGCACATGCAAACTATGATTAGCCAAGTTATATGAAATAAACATATGCAAGTTAGAACTTGTATGAAGCATAAACAAAAAGAAATGGACACAAGGAAAATAACCCTCTACTTACTGAAAGAGATATCTGTCTACTTAGGATGCAACAAAAATGTATTATAAGAGTCACTGGCTGGCCCACATACTGTCCCTTTCCCACCCTTCCTCCAGCATGCCAGTTAGGAAGAGAGAGAACTTTCTATTTCTGTTTCTGACTGATCACTAAATGTTCAATCCAAATCTCAAACTGTGGGTTTAACTGGAATTAGTTAAACAAGCTAATTACACTTAGTAGTTTAGTTTGTTTCAAGTAAAATAAATCAAGTCTACTTGCAGTTTGTAACACTAACAGAGATTAGTCTAAAATGAAAGGCAGTGCTTCTGATTTCCTTTTGGCTATTCCAGAAAGAGAAAGGAAAAGAAACATAAACTCCAGGTTTGCTGTGGTGCTTTCCCATTATAATTAAACCACGGTCTACTCTTATGTTTGAATGGTGCTTCTGACTTTAATCTCAGTTGCCAAAGCAATTTGAAGATACAGAGGGGTATAGACCTTCTGCCAACTTAATAAATCACACTGTCTTGAAAGTAACTTTGCAGCTGCATTGTATACCAAAACAGTATTAAACAAAGTGCTTTTACCCATCTTTCCATACATATAAACAAATCCCATTGCTTAACACATAAAAATGACATGAACTATCAACTTTTAGTCAAAACCACACTTTAAGAAAGGTTTGAAAAAAATGCATTTAGGTGGTTTTACTTTTAACTTTGCACTAGATATTTACTTTTTAGTATAAGGAGATCAGGGCACTTTACTGCTATCTACTGAATACAGCTTTCTATGAAAGATTCCTAAAAGCCATCCCGAACACCAACACATTCCATTTTACACTATTAAAAGCATCTAATTTGTTTATAACTGACAATTATACTTTTTTTAAGTACTGGATTTGTTACTACTACATAATCAAAATCAGACATACTCAGATGTATATCAATTTTCTCATTTAAAAACTTTTCTTTTTATTAAATACACAAGTAACATATTTTTATTAAATACATGGGTAACATCAGGGGATAAAAAGGGCAGGTCCTCTTTTCAACTGAGAACTGGTTGAGAACCAGGAAACAGAAAGTAGGTGTCAGTGGGCAATTTTCACAATGGAGAGAGGTGAAAAGCAGTGTCCCCCAGGGATCTGTCCTGGGACCGGTGCTTTTCAACCTGTTCATCAAAGACCTGGAGACAGGGATAAGCACTGAAGTGGCCAAGTTTGCAGATGACATGAAACTTTTTCAGGTGGTGAAGACCAGAAGGGATTGTGAAGAAGAGCTCCAGAAGGATCTCTCCAAACCTGGAGAATGGGCGGCAAAATGGCAAATAAATTTCAATATAAGAAAATGTAAAATAATGCACAATGGGGCAAAAAAAATTCAAAATTTTAATTATCAGCTAATGGGTTCTCAGCTGTCTATGATGGATCAGGAAAGAGATCTTGGTATGCTGTTGCACAGCTAGATGAAAGTGTCAACCCAGTGTGCAGCAGCAGTGAAGAAGGCCAATTCCATGCTAGGTATCATTTAAAAGGGGACTGAAAATAAAACAGCTGACAATATAATACCATTGTACAAAACACTGGTAAGGCTGCACCTAGAGTATTGTGTACAGTTCTGGTCACCGCCCCTCAAAAAAGACAGTGGAAATGGAAAAGGTGCAGAAGAGAGTGACTAAAATGATGACTGAGCTGGGGCACCTCCCTTATGAGGAAAGGCTACAGTGTTTGGGGCTCTTTAGAGAAAAAGCGCCTTGGGGGGGCCATGACAGAGATGTATAAAATTATGCAGAGGATGGATAAAGTGGATAGAGAGAAGCTCTTTTCCTTTTTGCGCAATACCAGAACCAGGGGACATCCACTCCAACGGAGTGTTGGGAGAGTGAGAACAGACAAAAGAAAATATTTCTTTACTCAGTGTGTTGTTAGTCTGTGGAACTCCTTGCCACAGGATGAGGTGATGGCATCTGGACTAGATGCCTTTAAAAGCAGATTGGACAGATTTCTGGAGGAAAAGTCAATCACAGGTTACAAGCTATGATGAGGATGTATAATCTTCAGGCTTAAAAGGAAGGTACACTGGTGCCTTGAGTTACGAATGCCCTGACCTACAAACAATTTGACTTATGAACAACTCCGGCTGCAAAATTTTGCTTTGACTTGTGGCTGGAGTTTTGACTTACAAATGGAAAAAGGCAGGAAATTCAAACTGTTGGTGGCAAATAGGCTGCTTCTTTGTAGCTCTTTCACCCCAATGGTTAGAGCAGGCAGTTAGGGAACTTTTTTACTCATGGGGCACAGGAGGAGGAAGGAGAGACAGGGCGGCTCCGGATCACAGCTGGGCACGGGAAGCCAGTGTGCTCCCTGCCCATCCCTGGTGCGGGTCTACTCACAAGTAAGTGCCGCTGAAGGCATGGGTCTACTCATGAGTAAGTTCTGCCAAAGGAGCGGGTCGGAGGGGCTCTGTGGACGGGGCTGGGCGTGCAGCAGCGGCACAGGAGGAGGAAGGAGAAGCGGCCGGGTGCCCGTGCTTTGGAAGCCCCGGAAACCTCCACAGAGGTTTCGGACTGGTAAAGTGCTGCTTTTTCCTTTTAAAAAAGTTGTTCTGGGTGAGTTTTGGAGGATAGGTTTGGGCTGGGGGGGTTACGTTTCTGTGTTGTTTTGTTTTTTGATGGTTTGTTTGTTGTTTTTTGCAGTCCCAGCATGGGACTTGCAGTGTTTTTTGTTTGTCTGTTTTTGGTATCTTTTTCTTCAGCCAGAATGGATTAATCAGTTTTCAATGCATTCCTATGGGAAATGGTGCTTTAACTTACGAACGTTTTGACTTATGGCCACTGTTCCAATACGGATTAAGTTTGTAAGTCAAGGCACCACTGTACTTCAAAATGCCAGATGCAGAGGAGAGGTATCAGGAGACAGGCATCTAGTTGTTTCGTGTGCTTCCAGAGGCATCTGCTGGGGCCACTATGAGATAGAGGAAGCTGGACTAGATGGGCCCTTGACCTGACCCAGCAGGGCTCTTCTGATGTTCTTATCTCCTTCCTGCTTTCAAACACTTAACAGTGCAATTACACATTTAGTCAAACGTAAATTGCAATGAGTTTAATTAATCTCACTCTCAGGTAAGCAGGCATAGGACTGCAGTTTTAAATGTAAAAACTCAAGGTATTCAAAGACTCTTTGTTCAGAAAAAAACTGCTTTTTGCCAGAATAGTACTATTGCATCAAAGGCATTGACAGACAATAAATATTTCAAAATGTATTCAAGCAATAGTGTTGTTTCTTAAAATGGTCTTAGTTTAAGCAAGAGATATTTCATTTATGGCCTGCTAGCATTTAGGGAATCAAGTTGTGTAATAGAATACTGGGAGCTTTCGTCTCCTAAAGTTCTATTTCATTTTATGAAGCCATTCATGGACTATCATTGTGGCTTCAAATCCATCATTTCTGATTTGGCCACATAATAAAGGTTTCTTGCCTTCTGCAGTGATAGTGACATAGAGACTGCAGCATTTATTTGTTCTTGAGCCATAAGAGCATTACAATTAAAAAAGGATTCTGAGACAGGTACCACATAAATAAAAAGACCAAGACTACGAGCCATCTTCAAATGCTAACATTACCAGCCCCTCTGTATTTCTAGCCCTGTGTTAATGCCATTTATTGTAACTGATCTTACAATTTCATCCTAAAATAATCATTCAGAAATGGAATTTGCATACTATGGTCATAGATATTATCTTAATCCCAATTACTTGGCATACAATGACTCAGAGAATCACTGAGATTTATTACAGCCAAACATGTTTAGACTTAACTCTACAGAACAATCTTCTTCCATCTCGAATCTATAGTAACAATTTCAAAACAAGTCTGTATTAAAATTTAAAATTTGACCCATGAAAGAAAACAGTGTCCCCAAACCTTCCCCAAACTTAAAAAAGTAACACAGATAGATGCTCAAACATTTTCATAAAATCTAATTAACATAATGCAAAGTATACCTATTCCAAGAATGTCAAAAACAAACAAGCGTATTTTAATTCAAACTGCACAACAGAATGTGGAAAAAACAAACAATGTCCAAGTGACTATATCATGCTCATCACTTGCCAGGCTTTTTTGTTGTAGTTGTGGCCATGTTTCCTTTTTACAGTTAAAAAAGAAAGCTTTATGCCAAAGTAATCCATGTTCTGCACCCTGTATGAATTCCATGTGCTTATCCTACTTAAATTTATCTGCTAATCATAGACAGAGGCAGGCAGCTCTGCACTGCAGTAAGCCTCACCCCATGACTTAAAAGTCCTGCCTAGCCCCACTTTTTTGCAATATACTGTACTTTACAAGGCACTGCCAAATCTGTTTCCAGGCACCTCTTCTCAGCCACAAATTCTAGAAGACTCCTTTTCCCAAAACATCAATGGTAGTATTATCTGGCTGCCAAATTCTGCACCCAGTACTAAAATCTATGCTTGCACACTGCAATCATTGATTATACACAGGCATTGTGAAAGTCATATTAAGTAGGTACGTCAAGGCTAGCAGTGACAGGCACCTTACAAACAGCAATATTTTGACAATTGCTACTGTCTGCAAGGAAGAAAATCAATTGCCTTTTGGGACACTGTTCCCTGTGTTCATACTAGAATGCATAAAGGGCAAGAGAAGGATGAGAAATTATGAACACTGAACTCCTTTATTATGTGGTACATGTGACAAAACCTTCTTTGAATGTTCTGCAACTGAGAGGTAGTGTTTTAGACAATATAAAGCTTTAAGCGAATACTGTTACCTTGGGACTTCGCTCAACTGTAAAACCAGCCAAGAATATTAGCATCCATAAATATTATCCATAAAACTACAACTGCTTGTGCGGCATTATTAACACATATACACTATGCTTCTCCAGACTGTGTCACACAGCTGCTTGTGGGATTGGCAGCTGCTGGGTCTTATTTGACATTACATTGGGTTATGATGCACAGGAAACTGTGTGCACCCCATTAGGAAGGTACATATTATTCCACCTTTAGACCCCCCCCCTTAAGGCAGCCTTCCCAAATTTAGAATCCTCAAAAACATATTACAAAACTGCCCTCATTCCCAGCATGTAGCAGTATCTCAAGGCCTAACAAATCCATTTGAACTTAAACTGGGTTTGAAAGTTTTGTTCATTAGAACATCTAATATCTGATTGTTCTCCATATTTTTCCCTTCCCAGCACTCACCTCTTTGGTGAAATCTATATTATAAGCCTGTAGGTAGAGACCATCCTTTTAAAAAAAAGAAGAAGAAGTGCTTAGTATGTTTTACGTATTAGATAAACACACTGAGAGAACATGGATTCCTGCCATCAGACTGTAGATGCCAAGGAAATTAGACTGTTTCCAAACTCTGCCTGATCTCATCAATCGTTTCTTTTCTATAATACAGTGGTTCCCAACTTTGGGTAACCCAGCTTCTGGGATTTGGACTGCAACTCCCAGAAGCTTTCACCACTAGCTCTGCTGCTCTGGGAGCTGCAGTCCAAGAATACCTGGACTACCCAAGATTGGGAACTACTGCCCTAATAAGTCTGTTACCATCCATACTATCCCCAAAAGAACTTAAAGAAGCACAGGATGAATAGGAAATATACAGTGACAAGATGCTGTTTAGTGGATCTCTGCCATTCCCTGCAGTACAGGAACTTTATCGTATTTCCCTAGGAAACAAAGAAAAGTAACTGAGAGACAGCAGACAAACCATATGATTCCAATTTGGAGCGATTACTGTATTCTGAAAAAATCAGAATATTTCACCGTTTCTAAGAGAGGATCCAAAGTTTAATTCTACGTGGCAACAAAGAAATGAAAACTCCAAATCCAAGAAGTAATTATTTTTATAAGATCAGGAATTTGGAACAAAGAGAGGTTTAGTACATTAGGCAGCTTGGTAGCAAGCATTATAAAAAGGTTCAAATGAATTTTTATAAGCAGACTTTGAATTGGAATATATATTTTGAATTGCAAATTATATGCTAGCGTATAATTACCTCAAGAAGGGAAAACTGGAAATAACAAAATATAGAAAGTAAACATCAACCAATTATTAACATTTCCTGTTTCTTCTAAAGGAACGGTATTATTTCAATGCTACTGCTGATCCCTTCCTCACTCCACCACTATCACATACTGCAAAATCAATTAGATTTCACTCTTGATTTTTCATTTCTTTTAGTCAGAACTACAATCATTAAAAAAACCTTCTGTAAGGTCTTAAGGCAGATATATATATAAAGATCAAATAAATATTTGCAAGACAGAAAAATAAGTTCAGTATCATTAAAATACATAAAGATAGGGGGAGGAACTAGCAATCTAAATTCTTACATCTGCACATCTACTCCTATATTAACCCAGCAAGTTTCTTATTCTGATACTTGTTGGATAGAGATTCTTATACAGTACAGTTCTTATACAGTACAGTACTTGAAGCAAATCACATGTGGTTGGAATCTTTTTATTTTTCTCCTGTCTTTATCAAATACATACCTATTTAAATCCCCTCTCTCTCCCTCTCTCACCTTCTTTCTCTCTCCCACTCCCATTTATATGCCAATCTTCTTTCTGAGAACACTCAGAATGGTATACATAATTAAAATAATAAAACACTGGGAACAGTTAAAAATTAAGAGCATTTAATGGTTCAGACAAACAATAAAATCTACATGATGTATTGACTAGAATGGCTAAAGACTGACTTCACAAACACTTCCATTTTTGGACTGCACTGGGAATATGGCTCACTTCACTGGTGCAAGTAATATACTAGTGAATAAGAAGTGATGTACAGTGGAACTGTAATGGATTGGTGCATATAGTTTCTAAGTACAATACATGAATAGAATACCCTGTTTCCCCGAAAATAAGACAGGGTCTTCTATTAATTTTTGCTCCAAAAATGCATTAGGGCTTATTTTCAGGGTATGTTTTATTTTTTTCATGTACAACATTCTACATTTATTCAAATACAGTCATGTCATCTTCTGGTTGCTGCACAATGGTGGAGGGCGGGGTTTCACTTAACTAGGGCTTATTTTGGGGGTAGGGCTTATATTACGAGCATCCTGAAAAATCCTACTAGGGCTTATTTTCAGGTTAGGTTTTATTTCGGGGAAACAGGGTAGTTATAAAAATATTCCCTCCACATGAACTTACAACTTCTTTTTCATTAGTCATCTATGAAACAATCCTTGCCTTTCAGATAAATAACTGAAGAGAGTACTCACTGTGTAATAATTTCAAATTTATTAAAGAAGCAACTCCTCTCTGCATTTACTAAATGATACAGCACTACCTGAAACACAGACATATATAGCAGCTGGCTTTTAAAAATGGGGAAATGTTGCATCCAGGTAGAAGAAATATATCTTATGGGTCCACCTGGCACCTGTTCCTGACTCTCAGATGTTTTCCTTACACTAGAATACAGTTATAAGCTTTGCTAAGCACAAGTCCATTTTACTTTCCGCAGCCCATTTGCATTTTAATATCTGGAGACTGGGAAACTGTACTAAAATTATGTGATTTCACAAAGCAGCCAGAAACAGTGGACCCACCAAAAACCTTGTACACTACAACTTTTAGGAATGCTGGGTATTCTTAAAAAGGCCTAGAGATTTTATGTCAACAAGGCAACTAAGATGAAAAAGATCACAGCTACAACAGGAAACCTGGATAAATTTTAAATGAAAACAATGGCACCAAGGCAGTATTTCAAACCAAACAAGGGCTGTAAGTAAAACTTGCTTTTCAGTAATGGCATTTAATGACTTAATGAGTTAGTGCTGTTAACTCATGCTACTATTATGTGATGTGCCATCTACTTCAATGATTGCTAAGAAGATCCCATGCATGGCATAGAGTGTGAGAGAAAAATATTAAATTTCATACCCCTGTGCTTAATAGATTGAGTGTAGATACTGATGCAACACTGCCAGAACTTTCATCCTAATGAGAGAAACAGAAGTAAATCCTTAGAGAAACATTCAACAGTCATTAATATACAATATGCATGCAAATTTTAGATTCCACTTTACAGTTTAGACATAGCACTGGCATGTCAAGAAAAAGGTTTGGTTTGATAACTGGGCAGCCTGTGAATCCATCCCCAAAACAAAATTACATCAGACAGCAGCTACAATTCTAAAGCTAGAGTGAAGAAAACTAAACAAACAAAATGTAACAATTGAAATCTGCTCCTGACTTCTAGATGCTCAGAAAGGATCAACTCTTTCAAGAGATTATGTCAGAGATCAGGCACTGAGAAGACTTGTGTGAACTTTAACACAGAAACCAATGCCCAGTTCAAAATACTTCCTGTATGTGCTTTCATATGTAAAAGTTTTTCAGATCTCCATTATTAGCCTATATTATTTCAGATCCTGCTTCTGCTAGCTCAAAATTACTGTAATATGTCATTTTCAATCCTCGTTCACCATTTCCAACAAAAATCTGAAAGCCAAGAGGCCTGAAGCACTAGCCAAGGGTGTAAGTCAACTCTGCCAGGGTTAGCTGCTCCATTTAATTGTTGTGAAAGATAAACATCTGTACTTTCTCTATCAAAAGCTACAGTACTACTCAAGAACCTCATCAAGAATTATCTCACATCACATCACTACGATTCAAAGTTAGCACCTAATGTTAAATGCATGTTCAAGAGCAGATATGTTATGGCAAAAAATTAGTTATCCATTCCAGCCGCTCCAGTAAAACCATGCTCAGTTCAGTCAAAGGTCTTAAGTTCTTTCCCATTTAAAAGTCCACCTTAAAATATATAAATTTATGAAAACACATTTGAGATCTTTGGTTCCTATGAAATGTTACTCTAAATCCTACTGATTCTATTTAACAAATTTATGAAAGCTTTCTAAGTAAATTATCAGCTTACACGTCTTTAAAACTATCAAAGGTTCCATGCAGAATTGTGCAATCAAATCAAGTGGAAATAATGTAGATGTTTGAGCTCAGATTCATCTTAACATACTTTATTTTTGAAGCAACTGGCAATGAAAATGCATTAATTGCACTGCAACAAACAGCCCCAAAAGTGGTACTGAAGTGCTATGTCTCTACATATTAGATGGATGGGCAGACCACTTAAAAGGAATGCTGGTAACAGCTTGATATAAACGTTTAAACCTTATAACTTTGAGGTCTAAACTTCAATATATAATAATAAATAAAATAAATAAATAAACCACATACAAGGCGGCAGCTTCCAAGCTCTGCCTAAAACAGGCAGTCAGTTCCTTCAATCCAAGCAGAACACCAAGCCCATATCAGGAAAGAGCTACGAGGGGGTGCTGATAAGTACTGAGCCTTTCCCAGAAAAAATTGACCTAGGAAGCTGTAACTGCCACACTATTCTATATATTCCCCCAGGAAGTCAATGTACTTTCAACATCTGTCCTGCAGCTTAAGTCCCTGCAAATAAAATTCTTCCGACTGCTGGTGTAACCACTCATTTGCAGCATTAGTTGCCCCTAGAACACTCCCAAATCATTGTCCCTTTAGGTGTTTTTTTGAGTTTGGGAAACAGATAATAGTCAGAAGGAGCCAGGTTAGGAGAATAGGGTAAATGGGGCATATCTTGAAAGCCTAAGGACGTCAGTTTTGCCATTGTTTCACCTGCAGTGTTTGACAAGGTGTTGTCATGCAACAGGATGACACCCTTGGAGAGCTTTCCTCAACGTTTTTCCTTGATGTTTTGCCTCAAACCTCGTCAATAAAGCACAGTAATAATTTGCATTGATGGGTGAACCCTGTTGGAGGTAGTCCACCAGCAGAATTCCCTTCTTATCCCCCCAAAAGTTGCTATTTGCTTCTGCACTGACCTTTGCACTCAGAACTTCTTTGGCCTGGAGGAACCACTGTGCCTCCATTCCTTAGACTGTTCCTTTGTCTCAGGATCATAACAGTACAGTAGATCCATGTCTCATCACCAGTTACCAGTTTGCCCAGGAAATCTGACTCATTTCTTGCAAAATGTTCCAAAGCAGCCACTGATGACTTCATACATTTCCTCTTTTGTTTGGTTATCAAAGTTTGGGTATCCACTTTGCTGCCAGCTTTCTCATTTCCAAGTCGTTGTGGGTAATGGCACCAACTCTCTCACGTGATATTCTCAGATATATAGCAATACGTTTGGCTGATATTCTGCGTTACTCCATGATCATGTCATGGATGGCTTTCACATTTGCAGGCACAGAAACAGGCCTTCCACTGGGTTTCTCACTTTCAACACAGAAATGGCCAGTTTAAAAATTGACAACCCAACGTTTAACTGTTGCATATGAAGGGCCGCTGTCACCCATAGTTTGTGACATTTCATCATGGATCTGCTTTGCATCTTTCCCTTGGAGAAACAGGAACTTGATTATGGTCCTATGCTCTTCCACACTGAACTATTCTAGAGGTGCCACCATGTTCACTTTGGACCAGAACATGAAACTTAAGTTAAAATCATAGGTAGTTGATTTCTGCACCATTGAATGTAGACAAATTGGTCAATACACCCTGCAATTTATAGCTTCCTGGCTCAATTTTTTTCTGGGTAAGACTCAATACTTATCAGCACTCCCTTGTACATTAGATCTAGCTAGCACAACCCTACAGATTATCTCTCTTGCTCTATCTGTCCTCAGAAATCTAGTGAAAAGCTACTAGTTAAGGACCCAGTTCTGAAGTCCACCTGGCCACATTGTTCATCCTGTTCCACATTCCATTTACTAATGATTCAATTGCTGTCAACTGGTTTCTCAACTCAAGGAAATCCAAGTATACAGAGATTACCAAAGAATTTCAATTTGCATAAGCACATAGTGATACTGCCAGTATAGTCAGAGAAATAAAGAAGTTGTACGGAAAAGAAAGCAGCTTTCTTAAGAAAGAAAGAGGAAATAAAATTGCTGACTTTAAAAACTGCAGTTAGTCCCATTAGTGTGAGTGACCATTAGAAACTCTGAAGAATGCACTCCACAACCTCAGTTCTTAGAGATCTGGAAAAATGTTTTTCTATTCAGATATATATTGCATATGATATATTTAATTTTGTAAATGAAACCTAAAGGTGACATTGTGTTCTAAAATAAAACACAGGAAATGTCTGGTTCGTATCTTGTGACCTATTTCTATGAGATCAAAGTACAGTGGGCCCTCGACGTAAGAACTTAATCAGTTCTGGAAGTCTGTTCGTAAGTTAAAACGTTCGTAAGTCAAAACTAAATTTCCCATAGGAAGGCACTGAAAATTAATTGATGCGTTCCTATGGGGGGGGAAAGGTCAGAAACTTAAAAATAAATAAAAGAAAGTCACTTACCAGGCCTTGGTAGCCCCCAACCTGCAGGAAAAAGAGCACAAAACAGCTAAAAGCCAACACCTAGTAGGGAGCCTGGCAGCCATTTTGTGCTCTTTTTCTGCTCCTGCCCCCTCCTCTCCCCGCCTAACAGCTGATCAGCTGGCTCTGAAGAGGCTTCTGGAGGCTTGCTCAACACCTAAAAAGGCAGGGGAATAAAGCTCCCCCGCTTTCAGAAGCCTCCCGGGGGCAAGGGAAAAGCAGCAATGTTTTATTTCCAGCTTTATTCCTCAGCCTTTTTAGGTGCTGAGCAAGCCTCCAGAAGCCTCTTAAGAGCCAGCCGATCAGAAATGGCTGGGGAGGGGAGGGGAGGGGGCAGGAGCAGAAAAAGAGCACAAAATGGCTGCCAGGCTCCCTACTAGGTGTTGGCTTTTAGCTGTTTTGTGCTCTTTTTCCTGCAGGTTGGGGGCTACCAAGGCCTGGTAAGTGACTTTCTTTTATTTATTTTTAAGTTTCTGACCTTTTTTTTCTCTCCAGAAGCCTCTAAGGGGAGGGAGGAGACACTTTTTTCCTGTTTGTAACTCAAGGGAAGTTTGTATGTCGAGTATGTTATTTCCCTATCGGGCGGGTTCGTAAGTTGAATTGTTCGCAAGTAGGGCCGTTCGTAAGTTCCCCTTGGGATGAGGATGGGGCACAAATGGCCCCTGCTGGCAAAGTACTAGACATGACAAGATGACATATACACAGAAAAATATGCAAGCATAAATGACCACAGATAATGTTCTCACTGTCAGTAGGCCTATTCTGGGGATTATGCATCAAATCCTAGAATTAGATTACCAAAGGTATTTTCTTCCTTTGATTCACTACTGTCAAATAAACTATTTTAGATGATAAGCTCAATACAGCCAGAACTCTTTATCAAGAACCTATGAAACTTTTAATAAGTTTGTGCAGAAACAAACTTTTTGCTAAACAGTTGTAATTTACCTGTCTTCTTGGTGAAATGTTTAAACAATATGAAGCATGCACCTAATAAATACTCTGAGTCACACATTCAGAAGATTAAAAACAAATATTAGAATCAGCATAAAATGAATAATATGTAACTAAAAAGAATGAAGTAAGTGGAAATTAAACTTCTCTGTGATTACATGAAATGCTGCTTCCCGTGTTATTACAACTTTTCACCAATGTATTAAAGACTGATGGTCTAAACGCTGTAAACTGTGGTCTACTGAAGTTAATAGAATTCGATCTAGTCTTGCCTTTCTGCAAAAGGACTAAGATCCAGAAAAGGGCAGGCTAAAAAGGAAGTGATACAGTATTTGCCAATTTTCCTCCTTGCAGCCTCCAAAACCATTTCCAAAGCTTTCCTGCAGGGTCCCTGAATCCTCCAAGGCAGCTTTTAGTACAAGGAAAATTGCAAAAGTCAGTTCATTGCATTTCCTCAAACAGGGAAGTCTCAAGAGAGAAATGTGCCCGAATCAAACACAAAATTTGTAGCTTTTTCTAAATAAACTCATTTTAACAAGTTTATTAATTCTTGTGTCATAGAAGCTACCAACATGAATTTGACCAAACTCTGGGAGGCACTGGAAGACAGGAGGGCCTGGCATGCTCTGGTCCATGGGGTCATGAAGAGTTGGACACAACTTAATGACTAAACAACAACAAAACAAGTTTATAATAAAGCAAACCTACTACAATATCTGAAATAGCAATAAAAGATACATGCATCCTGTTTCCATGACAACCAATTATGTCTTCACTTGCACATTACCAGTTTTTATTTTACAGTAAAAAGAGGTACTATATGTCATGACCGCTTACTGCTTCAACTACAAATAATACAAATGTCTATAAAAGACTTGTCAAAGTGCACGAAAAGGATATCAGAGTATGAAAACATAGCAGTTATGACTTCAAAAGTAAATATAAGAAACCGGATCAAAGAAAAAAAGGAATCTCAGCCTCATCACAAATGAACAGGAATTTCACTGATTACTTTGGGTAAAAATCTGAATATTTTGCTGTTATGCAAATCATGTTTGGTTCCAGTGTCGTCCTCTATCTAAGACAACAACATCTAGCATTGACAATTTTACATGCCACAACTTCATCAAAAGTATAGATTTCTTTCTCTCCACTATTTAATCAGCAACTGCAGGCAAACATAAGGGATTCTTTGCTAGAACATCATAACAGATTGCATGTCCATTTTGAGAGTACACACAATACAAGCCTGAAAAAGTGGAAAATTTCCACAAAAGCTTGCAATTTGTTTCCTTTTTTTAAAGTGGGCCAATAAAAGGTACTGCCCACTCATACAATACATTCTGTAAAAGTTTATGATTGATTCTAGAAGTAAATGATTTAGTCCTAATTATCCATTGTATTGATCCAGTTAAGGAAGTGAAAAAAGTCTGCACACCATCACCACTCCAAGATAAATTCAGACCTTCAGCAAAGGCATCAAACATTGGGACACCAAATTTCAAAATGTGCTAAAATAAAGTTATTCAAAGATTCTGAGCAGACAGGGCTACTGACTTCAAGAAAATATTAACATTAGATTAGGGCAAGGGCTGAACTCCACATCCCAAATATTATTTACTTATATTCCAAATTATGCTAGGCAATATGAGATTACATTTCCAGGATGCTCTGAGGTAAGTTACCAATACGAGTTACCTAGTGTTATAAACAGAAGACACTTATTCCTTTATCTGGAATAAACACAAGCTCTTTATAGCATTCAATTTCTCTGAAATTAAATCAGCAACATTTTCCAAAAATTTACAAGCGTGCTTTGGATCATGTATTTGACAATTACACAGGAAACTGTAGTTCAATTACATGCAAAATATTTATTGCACACCCAGTAGTAGTAGCATGACCCAAGTTCCTTCAAAAGCCAAATGCTTTTTCGAATGCTAACATCACATTTTAAGCAAATCCTGTATAAAGTTGAAATGTTGTGGACATCTATATGGTCTTATTATACCACAGTATCTTAAAAGTCTCCATAACTTTAAAGTACAATGAATTACTGTGATAATTATTCTTGGAGACTGAGTTCACCCAAATCTCTTCATTATTTAATGATAATTGCCAAATGACAGCTTGCCTGTGTGCATGGGCCATCATAAAGAGGCTGTACAAAGGGGAAAATCAGTCATTTGACATTTAAATATTTAAAAAATTAAAAAAAATTAGAAATGAAAATGTGGTATGAAAGGAAATCTGAATACTAAAGTTGTGTTTAACTCCTACATATAAGATGTGAAAATAAATATGAGCTTCTCTCATACAAATCCATTAAATTTTCATGTGTGACAATAAAATGTAGAGAAACATGTTTGAGGTTAAGCATTCTAAGTGACAGTACATATTTTCTTTCTGACTCTCCTGGACCCACATATTAGCAAATTTATGATAGGTCCTAAGATACTGTGAAGAAATGAGATAACTCACATGAATCATCCACTGAGTTATTTTTTACAATTTATCTATGCTTTCCAGCAGCTACTCACAATTAAGCTGCTGTAAATGTCTATTAATTGGGGATTAGTATTCGGCATTTTGCTGCTATTTAATTGTCCTGGAATATTTGTAGGACAGCTTTTTCAAAAAGTTTTTTTAAGTAAATTAGAAAATGGCAACTTCCCTGTGAAGCTGCCATTCCTCCATATCTTGCCATTGTCCCTTTAATTCAGTTTCCTCTTCCCCCTTCCCTTTTTTTCCATCCCTTTGTAACATAGCTAATGTCACTTCCTCAGTCCTGGCCCCTATGTTTCAACTAGGATGTGGGAGGGAATTTATTCACTCTATGGGTGTTAAGCACCAAACATTTACAATTAAAAGCATGCATATACACACTTAAATATAAAGAAGATGTCACTTTTGTTTCCTTTCAATACTTCTGTGCAGCAAATATAATAAAACTATGTTTTGCTATTAAATGCAGTGGGAGGCATCTGCTAAAAATAAAGCATAAAGTACTTAGCAATCTAACTACCATCAGAAGCCCCTTGGAAATAACTTATTTTTGGACAGTAAAGTGATATTTTGCTTGCAAAAGAATTAACAGGGTCTTAAGATGTTTGATCCAGAATAAGAGCACTAGCTGAAAGTAGCTACATGGAAGACAATTTGGTGGTATGTTATGTATTCTTTCCTCATCTATGACCATGTCCATCTCCTAAAAATCCTCTAAGTCATTTGTTTTAGAGAAAAAGTCTTACTTGTGCTAAAGTCATACTCGGCCTTTTCTTCCTAAGCCTTGATGCCATGAAAAAAAAAGATGAAAAAGAAAAACCACAGGCCAAATCTAGCAAACAGGTCTGTGTTCTATTACATAAAGGCCAATCTGATCCATGCTTATTCAGAAGTAAATCCCACTTCCTTCAGAGGCATTTCATGAGAAATGTACAGTGTTAGACTCTTAGGATTCCAGGAAACAATTGTGTCCAATATTTCATCAACGTATGTTGAAAGCACATACAAAATTGTCTCTGTGCCACTGTAGTGTTGTGGTACAAAAGGCTGTGTGAAATATACGACCACTTTTTTTGGATTATAATTCTAGATTTAAAAAACACACACACACACACAATTTGTTTTAACCAAATTAAGATCCAGAAGGCTTTTTAAATTAAGTTTCCAGAATGTAGACTTTTTGGGATTCTGACACTATTCTTTACTGGAAGTGAGCTCTTGCCTTATAAAGATTCTATCAATTTACTTTTTCCAGTAAGCTGAAGCAAATGCATAAACAAAATCATTATTAACCAAAGCTTCAGCTTATTTTAACTCTGGGAACAATAAAGGTTTACAAACATGCTAAAATAGTTGAAATAAATAAAAGCAATTCATGTTTACCACATCTCTGTGTACAACACTACAAATATTCACCTGTTGAATTATTTTGGAGTCTTTCTGTAAATTCTCTTTTGGTGGAACTTTCCCAAATAACTTCCAGCCTGGAGCACTGTGGACAGCAGGTTTGAGTTCCTTTGTCCTTTTTGTAAAGAAGTTCCTGTAAGAAAAATTTTGTGAAAATTTAGATGTATTTGCCCTAAGGCAGTGTGGTTTCCCTACTAGAAATATACATGATGTGACAATACAACATTTCTAATTTGACTGTATTTTGCTATGTTGGTCTATTCATTCTACAACAAATTGAATAATGTTTATTTTCTGATTTTATTACCTTGGTGAGAGAAATCCGTCCTTTAAGTGTGATCAGATTAACACAACTAAGTCACAGACGTTAGAAATATGTTTTGGTTTCAATTACTGGAGTGTTCTGTTAAGCATCATAAAACACAAGTGAGGATCATCCCTTCTTTGGAAATTTAGATGCACCAGTTAATTTTTCTTAGTCAGGAAGGTACACACATGAACTAAAAGTGCCAGATTGTCTGGACATCAGTAAATATGGAAAGGGTTTTTGTTCCATGTGGGACTGACTTTCAAATCTATTAACAGTTTTTTTAAAAATTTCAGATGTACACACATGTGGGAAACAATATCCATACACTGCTGCTTCTGAAACAGGCTGAAAAGAAATTGCACAATTAGTACATGTGGTTATGTATCTAGTTTGCTGCATGGTTTTGCAAGAAAGCATTTATACCAGCTGTGCAATTTGTCATTCTTTCAAGCAGTAACTTATCTTTTAATAGAGAACATCCAAGAATCCTTGGACAGGAGCAAAAGATAGAAGCAAAAGCCTTCACATGTTGTTAAAGACATTAATATGTAATACAAAGAGACGGCACTGCATGCATAGCTTCCACACTGTTCTAAATAAATAAATGAAATATAATGTAATATAAATCTGCACGGGCATCTGTTTTGTACCATTAAAAATAACTACTCAGATTTTGTCAACTGCTTGACACATGCAGTCTTCACATATGCAATACTGATCTGCTTCTCGGTGGTCTCATGCCTACTGCTGAAAGACCACTATGTTAATGGGCACACAAGCACATAAACACAAGTCTCCATAGCACTGCTGTATATGGCACTGCCGCCCTGAGTAGACGCTGTCTACGGGGATTTAAAAATAACTACTCAGATTTTGTCAACTGCTTGACACATGCAGTCTTCACATATGCAATACTGATCTGCTTCTCGGTGGTCTCATGCCTACTGCTGAAAGACCACTATGTTAATGGGCACACAAGCACATAAACACAAGTCTCCATAGCACTGCTGTATATGGCACTGCCGCCCTGAGTAGACGCTGTCTACGGGGATG